TTATGTCAGGGAGGCGATAGAAGAAGAGGCGTTCGACGGGGGGGAACTTGAACCAAAAAGTGTCAAAGAAAGTGAGTGGGAGACAGAAATCGGCAGCTGATTTTGGGGAGTGAGAAGAGGGGGTGACTTTGGTGACCTCAAATACTCTCATGGTGTGAGATGGCACCGGTTGCTCTCTTAGCGTTTTACGGTGGCTGAGAAAGGACCAGACCTGATATTATAAATCGGGACAGCGAAATGAAATTGAGATTACTTTAAGATAATGTTGGCAGAGAAACGCCATACACATTTACAGCACATGCACCAGAAGGGCAACATTAAATGCTTTTTCGTTTTTGTTTTGGTTTTTTGTTCCTATAATTGTTTGATTTGTTTTTTTCTGATAATGGATTACGTTCCACCTTTGCTTCTCACATGTTCACATGGGAAATGCTAATTGTTTGATTTGTTTAGCTGTCATTATTAACGCAAATGGACAACTGGCTACAGAACTTTGAGGGATTAATGAAAAATAAATTAATTTAATAAAAAGCTGTTATGTAGTGAAGAATATTTTTAATTGTATAATTTTAATAGTTAATTAAGAAATTTCTTTTATTATTTAATAATTTTTATTTTATAATTGAGCACCATATAAAATGTAAAACCAAAAACTTTTTTATTTTTCGAGCATGAGAAATTTTGAGAAACAGAGGATTTATTTCAAGCTACTGATAAGAATCATAGTTTCGATCAATGAAATATAAACATTAAAATTTAGAGATGAACTATTAAATCTAAAACCTAATTTGTAAAATCAAAAAACTTTTAATTTAATTAGATTTCGAAAATTAAATGCCATTTGTTTCCTTGACACGTAAATCATGCATTTTGTCTATTCTATCAATCATTATTTCCCTCCATTTTTTGAGTTAAGAAATCCTTCCATGTTTTGTTTAGATCTGGATGTACTATATACATGGAAAGATTGTTTAATTAGATTTGTTAAAAATTAAGAAAAAAAATTTTAAAATTATATTATTGTAATAAATTTTTTTAAAAAAATTAAAATAATTTTTTCAAATTAGTAATGAGTTTATTTTGATTTTTTATGTAGTATTTTAATAAAATAACATAATTTTAGAATTTTTTTAATTTTTATAAAAATTCAACTAATAAATATTAATATCAACTAATATTATATATTAAATTAATAAATATATAATATCATACATGACTTTTTTTTAAAATAATCAATCATATAATAATCACCTAAACATTCTACATTTATAATACTATTTATCATTAAAACTATATACCATTTTTAATTATACATAGAAAAAACTACCCCTTTCTCTTCTGTTTCTTATTCTTTTTGCACAAATATATATTAAGTTCACATTTTTTATTGTGTCAATAATCAGATTATTCACTGCCAAATTAAGAAAATTTACGCTTCTGATTAGTTTACCTAAGGGTTTTTCTAACTATAACCTAAGTGTATAAATTAAGAGCCTTGAAAAAATAAATATTAACATTTAATTTATCATTTATTCAATTAAACTTATTTAAATAACAATAATTTTAAAATTAATATCAATTTTTATATTTTTTTTCATTTATATTTATGATAAAAAAATATTTTTAATCTATATCTTTAAGACATAGTATAAAAAAAATCCTTATAAATATACGACATTACTTTGCCTATATTAATGCATTCCCCAAATAGGAAATGGCATACCAATATGCGCCAAAACCAACATTTAGCCTCTTACCTTATAAAATTGTAAGTTTTAACCCATCACCTTATAATATAATAGTTTAGTCCTTTATCTTACAAAGTTGTGAGTTTTAACCCCTTATCTTATAAAGTTGGTAGGTTTTAACCCCTTATCTTATATTATGATATTTTTAGCTCCTTACTGATACAAATTAAAGAAAATAATTCTCACCTAACATCAGGTTATAACATTTTGTTAGTTGACTGTTAACAATCGTTAATATTCTATTATAAAAAATATGGAATTTAAATTCAATTTTACTCGTTAATTCTATTAATGGAATACTAACAAATGCTAATAGTCAATTAATAGAATTAACAGTTAACTAACAGAACTGACAGTTAACTAATAAAATTGACAGTCAGCTAATAGAACTAATAAAATATTATAACATGATATTAAATAAAAACTATTTTTTTCAATTCGTACAAATAAGGGGTTAAAAGTGTCATAATATAAAGTGAGGGACAAAAACCTACCAACTTTGTAAGGAGAGAGGTTAAAACTCATTAACTTTGTAAGGTAAAGGGCTAAAAATGTCATATTATAAAGTTAAAAACTAAAATTTATTAATTTTATAAGATGAGGGGCTCAAAATGGTTTTAATCTACCAATATGACCAGCGGACAAAGAGTTCGGATAAGGAAAAAGACACGCAACATGGGAACATACTCTATGAATTTCTTCAGATTTTATTTTGAATTTTGTAAACTGTTCTTATCTCTTCATATTTTTGGAATTTCCGTTATTGGGAATAGACGAAGGATTAAGTGCCACATATATAAGTGTTTATATTCTATCCAATTTGATTGATTTGACTTAAATTGATTTAATTTAATCAAAAATTAATTCGAACCGATATAAAATTGAATTGGTTTGAATTTTAAAATTTTGGTTTGAATTTTAAAATTTTGATTTGATCTATAATTTTACCTTCAAATCACCCGAACTACCCGATTACAAAATAAATTTTGATTAAAAAATAATTTAATTAAATAATATAACATATTTTTTGTAGTATTTTAAATATTTTTTTCTTATTTTACAAGATTATAACTCTATTAACTTAATTAAAAAAATAAAAATAGAACATCTCCATATTCCCAAAGTTATTTTTTCATTTTAATCATACACTTTAATCTTAATTTTAAATTTTTAA